AAAATGCTGCCGATCGCGTCATTAAAGATTCTTCAAGTTGTTTTCTCCCGCTCGTCTTCTGACGTGGGTCGAACCAGTTTGACACAACATAGAATAGATACCGGCGATCATCCCCCGATCAAGCAACATCCAAGACGTCTGCCGTTTGCTAAACAGGAAGAGGTGCGAACACTGTTAAAAGGATATGGAAGAAGGCGATGTCATCGAGCCTTCAACAAGTCCATGGGCATCTCCCATCGTTCCTCGTCAGAAAGAAAGACGGCTCAACAAGATTTTGCGTTGACTATCCCCGGTTGAATGAGGTTACGAAGAAAGACAGTTACCCTCTTCCTAGAATTCGACGACATTCTAGACACTCTTTCTGGAAGCAAGTGGTTCTCAACGCTTGATTTAAAGAGTGGGTATTGGCAGGTAGAAATACACCTCATGACCGAGAAAAAGACGGCATTTACTACGGGACAAAGGGCTTTGGCAATTCAAGGTGATGCCGTTTGGACTGTGTAATGCGCCGGCAACATTCGAACGCCTCATGGAGACTGTTTTGAAAGGACTTTCCTATGAAGCCTGTCTGATATACCTGGACGATATCATCATCATCGGAAAGAGTTTTGAAGAGCATCTAGAAAATCTTAGAAAGGGTGCTTCAGAAACTGAAAGAAGCCAATCTAAGCTGAGTCCCCGCTAAATGCAAAATTGTTCCGAAAGGAAGTGACTTACCTGGGACATGTCATCTCTGCAGAAGGTGTGCGCACGGATCCTGAAAAGGTATCAGCGGTTAAATCCTGGAAACGTCCCGAAAATGTCCATCAGCTGAGAAGCTTCCTAGGGCTTTGCACCTACTATAGGAGATTCGTGAAGGACTTTTCTTCCATCACAAGATCCCTTCACAAGCTGACAGAGAGCAACCAAAAGTTCTTGTGGACAAAAGAATGCGACGATGCATTTAACAACTTAAAGGAAGCTTTAACATCTGCTCCAATCCTGACGTATCCTCAGCACGACCGACCATTTATTCTCGACACCGCAAGCAATGAAAGTGTCAATGCTGTTTTGTCCCAAGAAATAGATGGCCAAGAACGTGTAGTGGCGTACTGGAGCAAGTGCCTGTCTAAACCGGAGAGGAATTATTGTGTCACCAGGAAAGAGTTGCTCGCCATAGTCAAAGCTGTAGAACAGTTCCATCACTATCTATACGGCAGAAAATTCCTGCTCCGCACCGATCATGCATCATTGACCTGGCTTTTAAATTCAAGAATCCTGAGGTCAAATAGCCAGGTGGATACAGAGACTCCAAGAATATGACATCACTATCCGTCATCGTAAGGGATCATCACACGGAAACGCCGACGCCCTGTCTAGAAGACCTTGCCAAGAAAACTGTCGATATTGTTCCAGGGTGGAAGCGAAATACGAGCTGCTGACTCCGGTCGCAAGACAAATTACAACATCAACATCGGCTGATCGAGAACCGTGGAGTGATGATGAAGTCAGGAAAAGACCAGCTGGAAGACCGCGACATTAAACCCATAATTGATTCTAATTGGAGTTCGTCAAACAGAAAACCTACCTGGCAGGACATTTCTATCTGTTTCTAGTCTGACAACCAAACAATACTGGGCACTCTGGGATTCACTTCACATTCGAAACGGCGTCTTATACCGGAAATTCGAATCGGATGATGGAAGACGTTCCGATGACGTTTCGATGGCAACTGATACTTCCAACATCCCGCATTCCTGATGTTCTTAAAGAACTACTTAAGCAGCCCTACAGGAGGCCACTTTGGAATAATGAAGAACCTTGCAGAGAGTTCGTGAGCGCTTTTACTGGAATAATGCAAAGGATGACGTGCAAAAGTGGTGCCGATCTTGCGATGCCTGTGCAGATCGGAAAGGACCTAAGAGACGCAGCCGAGGCAAGCTGCAACGTTACAACGTAGGGGCACATTTTGAACGAATCGCCTTTGACATCCTGGGACCTCTGCCACGAACTGCTGATGGCAACAAATACATACTCGTTGTCGTTGATTACTTCACCAAGTGGCCTGAAGCTTATCCTATTCCTGATCAAGAGGCTGTCACAGTAGCTGAGGTAATGATACAGCCCTGGATTTCCAGGTTCGGAGTGCCTCTTCAGTTACATTCCGATCAGGGAAGGAATTTTACCTCGGTAGTAATCAAAGAACTATGCAAACTACTCGGCATTGACAAGACCCAAACGACGCCATTACATCCCCAGTCGGACGGCATGGTAGAGAGGTTCAATCGAACCATCCTTAATAACCTCTCATTAGTGGTTTCCAGAAACCAGCAGGATTGGGACAAGAAATTATCGCTGTTTTTACTGGCTTACCGCAGTGCTGTCCACGAGACTACCGGCTATTCTCCATCCACAGATGCTCATTCGGTCGTGACCTTCGTCTGCCTTGTGATCTCTCTATTTGGTTGGCCCGCCTCCAGATGCTCCTTCATCGCCTGATGGAATATATTCAAGATCTCCAGGGCCGGTTTGAAGTGATGCACAACTTTTGCACGAGAGCGAGTCAACTTAGCGACGGAGAAGATGAAGACCCGATACGACACCAAGAGCTACTGGAACATCAATTCCACGAAGGAGACAAGTGTGGTTGTGGAATCTGACTCGACGGAAAGGACTTTGTCCGAAATTACAGTCACCTTGGGATGGCCCGTACACAATTCTAAATAGGCTGAATGACGTCGTGGTTCGGATTCGTAAGTCTTCGAACTCTAAACCTAAAGTCGTTCATTACGACAGATTAGCTCATTACTATGGCCACAGTACGTAATGTAAATAATTGTAAATAGTATCAGACCATGGTCCTTTTTGTTTTTAAATGTGTATTTGATTTGATTTGTATTTAGTATTTGATTTGCATTTAGTATTTGATTTGCATTTACTATTTGATTTGTATTTAGTATTTGTTTTGTATTTAGTATTTGATAGCATTTGATTTGTTTAAGTTAGTTATTGCATTTATTGTTCATGTTGTTTGATATTGTAATGTAATGTTTATGCCACAGTTGTAAGTTTAGCTTCCTGTCCAGGGATTGTACTGCCCGGGACGTGCAGTCCTTGGGAAGGGGGCAGTGTTACGAATTTGGTATTTAAAAAGCTAATGTTAGTTTAATTATAAATTAAATGGTTTTATTTCTCGCGCAGTGCAGCGCGTGACGAATATTAAAAGAAAGCTAAGCCGGAAAATTGAAAATAATAGAGCGCGTGCATTAAATAAATAAATATCTCTTTTTGATTTCGAGAAAGTACTGGAAAATTCTAGCGCGTGATTTTAAAATCTTATAAAAGGAGGAAAACATCTCAGTTTGTAGTAGTTGCTTAGTTTGTTGTTGTTTAGAAAACTGCTGTTGTTGATTATAGCGAATTCGCGGATTAGCGTTCTTTAGCTGTTTTGAATTACGTTCTATTGTACATTTGAGTAGTTAAAAGATAACTACTGTGAGATATTGTAATACTGCATGATAATTTGAGAAAATTTAAGCATTTTTGTTGTGATAATAAAAAGTTTTGTTCATTTTTCATCGGACTTGTGCATTCACTTCATAACGAATCCGTACGCACGCAACAATACTATAAATATTCACAGTAGTTATACTAAAATTAGAAAACAGTAATTATTTTAGTAAATGATCCTTGAGTAATAATATTAAAAAAAGATATAAAAATATTTATGATCTGAGCTCTTCTAATTTTTAAAGCATACAAATGTAATCTAAGGATGGAAATAAAAAGCTTAATTAAAAAAAAACATAGTAATATTGAATAAGTCATATTTAAAATAATAATTTAAATATCACTTTCTTCTTTAGAATTTGAATTCTTGTTCAGAATCAAAGATAAGGCTATATTTTGTAGTTCAATAGGATTTGGTTTTACAATTGAATGTTTTGGTTTTTTACAAATTCTACGTGTAGAGTACAAAGACCTCTGACAGGTAATGTTTTCGTCTGCAGAGTCTTTTTTAAGATTATCTTGTGACATAAGTGAACAATTGGTTGATGTAATGGCATATAAAGTTGGTTCTCTTGGTGAAATTAGTCTTTCAGCTGCTTCAAACTGACTATCTGATGATATAGAATCAATAATGCGTGTAATTTTTTGTTTGACTTTCTCCTTTTTAAGAGAAAGGTTTAGGTTTGATACAAGGGAATAATTTTTACTTAGCTCGAATAGCGTTTTGCAAAAATGCACTTGGCAACTCCCTTAACTTCATTGATGATGGGCAGTACAAATTCATTTTCTTCGTTTTATTTTCAGTATTATCTTTAAATCGCTGTTTTGAGTAATTACACGCAAAATAAAAGTGTTGAATACCCACTTTATTTTTCTTACTTCCACCACAGTCTTTGATGAAACGCGAATTCGTTTCACTTTCTAAGTTTGCTTTAAACTTTTCGAATTCTTCAACTGAACTGAACTCTAAATCATCATATTCAAGAGTAATGTTATGCTCGTTACACACATGAATTTTAATCTCTTCCTTTTTAGCACAGAAGTTACACAAACTACATTTTACTTCCACCATCTTTGCAAATAGCGGCAAAAATATGAAATTCTATCTTATTTTCACACTTTTCCCCCCCACTAAAGTGTGTGTGTGTGTGTGATTATGGCAAAGCCTCGAGGGCTATCTGCCTAAGGGGAGGGATGCCTTCGTGGAGGACTTTCTAAAGAAACTGGCTCGTATACACGTTACACATGGGGAAAACCACGAAAACGCCCATGCAGCCAGCCCGTTCGCGGGATTCGAACCTCGGACCGAACTACCAGTGTTCAGCGACTTTACCGCTCGGCCGCTGGTGGGCTCCCCCACTAAAGGGCGCCACTCTAAAATTCGGGTAGTGGATGTGACGTCACTTTTTCAGATTCTCAGTTTCTAGACGCTTGTGCTTGTCTAGGTACTGCCACTGTAGATTACGCATCGTTTGTGGGAAGTTTAATCGTAATCGTACAGAAAGAAAAAAAGTTTTAACCGACTGCTGTACACGAGCGTATTGTGTCTTGTGGTGTTATATTAGTAGCATGGTTATGCGAATAAATTCGTTTTACGTTGTTTTTATACCGCCTCTATTATCATCATCTATATGTAATTGAAAGGTATGGGAAGGACTATAATTTTATCCAATTTTTCAACTTATTTGTTTCCTGGAAAAGTCGGAGCTCATTTATAAATAGTTGCATATTTAACTCAATTATTAACATGGCTGAATCAAAAATCCGGCAAACACAAAATATAACTCTTTGTCAACAAATGATTTCGTCAAGCACCGGTGCTATATTGACTTCATTGTTTGGTAAGTTAAAGCTGCTTTTATTTATATTTTATAATACCTGTAGAATGTAGGTAATTGGTGTATTGCTAGAAAATTTCACGTTTCATCTGCTCTTCTTTTCTAACGTTTCTCTACTGAATATAAAATGATTTAATAAGATATGATATAATTTGTTCAATTTTGTATTGTCTTGTTTGAAGCCACAAAACTAAATTGACAATGTGATCTTGATTACTTATGTACGAGAAGCTAAAAGTATAAAATTTGTAATGTTATGTTTAGAACTTGCATTTAAATTTTAGTTCAAGGATAAGTTAGTCGTGATTCTAATTTTTAAGAATAATGTAAAATTATTAATTATGAAGTGATGTTCAGTATATTCTGGCACGTGATTTAATGTAATAAAATCATAAAATGTTATACTGATTTTATTGAAATGCTTTCATTTGTAGCTTTACTCGTTACATGCGTTATCAAAGATGAGAAAATTGTAAGAGTGATTATTTTTGTGTTGAGCATTTGTATTAAAATGATTGTTTGTCTTTTGGTACTGATCAAGGTTGGTTCAGAAGAATGCTTCTTGGAGTGAAAAGAACGTTTTTAATTAGGAATTGAAATTCAGTTTCAAAATTCATCAAGACTCAGATGTGTAGCATCCACACTCGCAATTCTTAACATATAATTACAAATTTTACGGTTTTAGCTTCTTAATGAAGACACTCCTCATATACAAGTAATCAAGATCACTCTCCCAACTTGAAACAAGATAAAACACAAGTGAACGAACTGTATCATATGACATAGCAAGTACAAAAATATGCATACTATATATGCACATATACATATTAGCAAAGAAAGTTATTGTAGGTGTTTCAATAAATATAACTATACATGTAGTGAAAATATTTTAAGTTGATTGCAAGTGTACATGAATGAACTAAAAATATAATGCTATTATACGAGTGAAAAAAAAAAAAAAAAAAAAAAAAAGCAATTGGTTTCTTCCGATTGATTTTTCTCTGCCAAAACAGAAATTTATTAAACTTGCTGAGAATAGGTCATTTTTAAAATGTTACTTTCTACTGAAAAGATTTAAAGTCATAAAAATCTTATATGGTAGAAGAGAATGTAGCATTTCCAGAATTTCACATGAATTGTGTAATGTATACTTGTGTGCAAAATGCAAATTATGTCTATTTTTATGAAAAGTACTGGGGGGAAGTGCAGAATGTGAGTTTCCCAAAATCGCCTACTTGAAAATAACAAATCGACAAATTGCACAGTCTCGGTATCCATGATCTCATCGACTTATTTTCATTTAAAAAACAAATCGGAGAATTGCACAAACTTGGCATTGTGCACTCCCTTGACTTTGTCCATGTACACATCCGATACGTATCATATAAGTGGGCGATTTTGCGCTTTAGCCAAGTATTGAATGAAAATTGCTAATTATTCAGGCAAAATATTATGCATGTATTCAGAGTCGAATAAGTAAGTTTACATGTGTATTGTGAAGGATATATAAGACACGAGGAGTTTTCAGCGATTTGTGTGCTCCTGTTCTTTCACAACATTTGCAGTTTTTCTCGCAATGCCTAGTGTCGTCAATTTGCAAATTAATGACACTAGGTATTACATCGAGCTCTATAGCCATCTGTGCTTGTGACTGGCCTGTCTCCAATCTACTGAAAATTTTTCATCTCATTCTGTTATTCATATGTTCATTGCTACTCATCTTACATGATACCTTATAAAATTCTCCCAAATGACTGGACGACACTAAGCATTACACATACAGCAATTTGTGGAAATGGTTTCCAGACACTGCATTCATATCGAGAAGACCTTGATAATGTCAAACGAGATCCACAACGATGAATGAGGATCGTTATGTAGTACTTTCAACGTGCTGACACATACCTGCTATAGCTTCACAGCAGTTGCGTATATTGTATGCTATAACTAAAACCCGCTTTTCCTGGTCTACATTTACCTGAAGGCTTCGTGAGCTAAGGCTGTATGCTAGACCCTACTGTAAGTATCCTGCTTATTTCAGCAGACAAGAACTGTGTATTAAGTATGATGCAGACAGCATGTGCCTTGGACCAGACTTCAGTGAAGCATCATATTTTTTATAGATGAATCGAGATACAGCCTGGACATTAAATCTTGGCATTCATATATCTAAAAAGAACTTGAAGCACAGTACTATTCCTCCATCATCAGGGAAATAGATCATTACAGTGGTGGAGGGGTTATGGTTGGGTAATTATAAAATTAAAAATATGAAACCGTAATTTATGAAATAAAGAGCAATTATGATCTAAAGGGTATCAAAATTTACAAAAAAAGAAAAAAAGCTTTATATTTATTTGTTTACTTTATTAAACATTTCTTTTAACGTGTGCATGCGTAAAGCATACATTATGCATAGTCGAAATTAGAAAATAAGCCGAGTAAAATAAAAACATCTGCCCTGAAGATGAGGATAGTGCTGGCAGATCAGCTTCCAGTTCGTTGCGCACCACGACGTTCTCCCCCCTTCCCTCGCAGAGCAGCGTGAAATTGATAAACAGATTTCGGAATGGTTAGAGAAACAAAGGATATGCCGTTATCCATTTTTTACAGCAATTCCACTTTTTGTTTGATGGACCTTGAAACATGCTTTCACTTTGTAGATAGATCCTTTGGCAGCTCCAGAATCAGAAATTCTTTTTGATATAATCGAAAGTTCAAGTTTACTTTTATAAAATTGCTCTAACAGTCTTAAAAAAAATAATAAGCCGGATCCAATTAGAAGATTAAGGAACAATGCAATCTGCAACATTAACTGAAATAGATAATTTTAGCTTAGCTTATACCATCCGTTGTACATGAAACGTGCATGTGTAAACGCATATGCGCATGCATAAAGGTATATGCGCATTCGTAAATGCATATGCGTTTATGCATGTACAGAAAGTTTGTAGCTTTGAGGTCCGGATTAAAGACTTTTGACTGTACTGTGATTATCTGCTCAGCCTTCCTACAAGTTCAACAATTTAGTAACTAATTTTCACCCATACTAACACTTCACGTGTTATTAACAGTAGCCATTTTAAAAAATGGCAGTTACTAAAAATTGCATGAACTTTCAGTAACACTAATAACAACAAACAGGAACCCATGAGTTTCAAAACCTTGCATATTATCAACACCTAGATAAATGCAAAGTCTGATCTGCCACAGCAAACGCATATTTATGGTAAGCCAAATACTTTTTTTGTTAAAATCCAAATTGCCTACCTTGGCGATGTTTCCGTAACCGGCACTTGGCGAAATTTCGGATTTATTTATGCGCCAGAATATGGCAACCCTGATAATTGTTGCAACCCACACAGGGAATTTTCTTGAAGGATTTTTTCTGTTTACTTTTCGAATGTTATGGTAAGAGAAAATAAAGTTTGAAATTCGCAAATCGTTATCAGTTCATATTTTCGCAAAACGTTTTGGGAGTTAAAAAATAAAGTTTGAAAATCGCAAATCATTATTTGAAATCCAAGATAGCGGCCAAAAATCGCCAAGTGCTGGTTACGGAAAATTTGCCCCTACTTTGGTGACAAAGCAGTTTGTCAGGTGATTCTTATCAGGGTTGGACGGATAATCAGACTATCAAATTTATTTATAACTATCAATTAGTTGTTAATAAATATAAATATTTATTTGCCATTACCTAATTGTTGCTTTTTTTTAATACTTTCGGAGGCTAATCTTTATTCTTGGTTTTTTTCTGAAAAAAACCGCGAAGGGATATTGGTTGTTCGCCAAATCTGGAAGGCTGCCATGTGAAGTAGGTTTTTTGGGAACCCTAATGTTGATAATGTTAGTGAAACTACTGGTTACCATTTGACTTCTTATTTTGGTTTTATGTAGCAGCCATCTTGAAATTGTGCCTTCCTGGCACCAATCTTGGAGTCAAAAAAGAAACTATTTACCAAGAGGTACTGTACAATAAATGTTTACCACTTTCTGATTATTTGGACTCCTAATGAAATGTCACAAAGTCGTCAGAAACTGTGAAGAACATTTGTGAACTCATTGAAGACTAATTTTTTTTTTTTTTTTTTTGCCAAACTAATACATGAAGGGCAGTCTTCCATTTTCAGAATAGTTTACTAAGCATTCCATACAGGAGCAATAAATCAAATTTAAAAGGCGAGAAAACTGTGTAATAAAACAGTTACCTTTTTTGAGAAATTTTGTCCATATGTACAGTAATCTGTTTTCACTCAAAAAACTTGCACAAATTTTGATTCTACAAATTTTAGCATTATGCATGAGTCACAAGTTATGTTCACACAGCTGGTTGTCCGTAAATGCTTTTTGGTGATGTCACGTGGCAGAACTATTTTGGCAAAATAAGTGTCTCGCTTTATAAATTTTTTCGCAACTTTTCGGGAACGTGTAGATCATCAGGTACTTGTAGAAAGTACCAATTTTTAACCCCCCCTTTTTTTTAAACCTAGAATTTTCCTTTTTATCCTTGGCCCACCAGCAGCCGAGCGGTAAAGTCGCTGAACACTGGTAGTTCGGTCCGAGGTTCGAATCCCGCGAATGGGCTGGCTGCATGGGTGTTTTCGTGGTTTTCCCCATGTGTAACGTATATACGAGCCAGTTTCCCTTAGAAATTCCTCCACGAAAGGCATCCCTCCCCTTAGGCAGATAGCCCTAGTGTGCTTTGCCATAATTAAATACACCACACCACACCACACCACCTTTTTATCCTTGCTCCACCAGTGGTTGACTGGTTAAGACCACTGAATACTGATTATTTAGTCTGCTTTGGGTTTGATCTCAGGCAAACAGGCTGGCTGTATGTTTGGTTTTCTTGGTTTGTAGCAGCTTCCTCTATGCATATTATTATCTCTGTTGCAAAGTTTAGTTTCTGTAGATTGGCAACAAGAAAAAAATGTAAATAAAAAAGGGTTGTTTTGATGTTGTAACCCATATGGCTTCTTTTATTATTGTGAATTAAAATG